ACTCTGCTTGAAGGCTGCTGACTGAGAGACTTGAGGAATAGGACACACAACCCAAGAAAAGGATACCGATCATAAACGTGCATTATACAGAAATTGCTGTTTAAAACAGATGTGGGGGTTAAAATAGAAGTATCAGCAAGGCTTAGATCGGAACTGGGAACAAGCAGTAGCATGCAAAATTTCGCAAGCATGTGGTTGATGCTATGAACAGTAACAAGCAATTCAGAAAATCGAAACCTCATGGATAGTTAAACACTCTTCTTACATGTTTGTGCAAGACGTACAAGATCAAGGCAGCACCATCAGCGTGGACGTGAAAAAGGCATGGGCTGGAGAACATACGCGCAAGTTTCAGAGATTAAATAGGTCGAAAATATTGTCCTTCATCTCAAATATCATTCTGATTTATTTCAAATTCTGATCATGTGAATCACACTAGAATGCCTGTTAGTGGTAGAAAATTTTACAGAAGCTTTTAAAGCTTGATCAGGTCAAGCGCTACTCTAAGAATTCGGGTTTTGCCTATTGCTTTTGCTACTCTAGCTATACTTTCGTCGGCATGCACTGTCGCCATTAGAAACTAATGAGCATCAGTATGAGCAGGGAGACAGGAAAATTACTGTCAACCTGAATCTGTGCTGCAAATTCGCACATATCCGGTGGAAATTACTACATGGAATAAGAACTTGCAAGTGGACCTATACAAATAATCCCGCTACTGAGTGCGTCGGAGCTTATGCTCCTGGAAGGGTAGACGAAGCAGCAGACGGGATAATACTTGCCGGTATAGAGAAGATGGACTGAAGATGGAGGCAAGCTACACGTGCTTGAGTTGTCCGAGAATGTCCATTTAATTAGTTTTAGTGATATCAAAACGCTGTAGTTGTAGTAATTTCATTGCATCTATAGACACTAATATCTTGTACCGCGCTGTGGCAGCACTGACAACGCAGATCCACAACATCATAAAAAACAGTCAAAATAGTTCTATAACACAAGTCGCTAGTAACATGGAATGAATTTGGTGTCTCCCGGTATCGACTACTGCCGATGTAAAAGAACAAAAACGGGGGAAAAACCGAATGACCTTCATCGAAATTTCCTTTTAACTTAATAGTGGCATGCCACCGGAGACTACATCACACAAATTCTAAATTAACCTTTAGCTACATAGTTGACATCTATAGCACGCAACCTGGACAAATGGCTGACCCTCTGCAAACCAAGGTAAGTATCTTTGAAGTATCAAATGTGATGGTCGGTTCAGATTCTTCCTTCCAGACCCACGACCAGCCATGAGACGGAACGACGAATTTGAAGACTACTTCACTTACACGGTTGTCACGTGTCCAGAAGAGGATAGGGTCCCTGCAGATACAGCTATGATAAAGATCTAGAAGATGTAAGGAATGAATGTCAAAGCATGGCTTATATCAGCACGCGCTTCAAAGTCTTGCAACAAATAAACGCTGGATCACGGATCAAGGTTGCAAGCCAACTCATGATGCTCATTGACGGACGGCTAGGCTAAGACATCCAATAAACAGTTCAACAATTCATGGGGGTGGCGCAAGAAACGTTTTTGTAGAATGCTACGACCAAATTAGTCATATGATAGCCCCCTGCGACTTTAATGACAAAATGGACGATGAGATATGGATCATGCGCAAGTGACCAGGAAAAAGCGTTCAGGATATTTGCCGCAGACTAAGGAGCTCGTGGGTTTCTATGCGGAACTACCTGTGAGCGCAGAAGTAATGCCGGAAAATCCAACCATTTCGGTTCCTGAAGCGCGCAATGCCACGAGATTGGCAAGACAAGCTCTCAATCGGCGGAGATCGCTACGATAATCTGAGTGAACTGGTGATGTACTTCGAACGCCTTGGAATGCGCGAGACAGAACATTGTCGCAACAAATCGGGGTACAACAAATCTGTCAGCAGAGGGTACCACGCTTCAAATTACGACACACCCCGTAAACACCGCCGACAAACAAGATAAATTGCGAAGGAGGAATGACAAAATACCAACGCTACGAAAGGTGGGGGAAAATACTGCACCTTTCACAAGTCGACGTCACACGACACGATATACTGCTTTGCGATAAAAGCAAAGGCCAATTGAGCATAGCAGCTACTTTTACAATGTCCTTGTAAGCCCTATTTCGTATCCTTTTGCGACATTATGACATATGCATAGTGTTGTTTTGTTTCGTATACCTCTCTACCCATTTAATCAGTATAAGGGATGAGTGTCGGCTCAGTTTTTCGGGCAGTAAATAAATCTTCTTCACACTTAAACTAGGATGGTGTTTGTAGCGGAGCTACCACAGCTTAATAGTCGGAGGAAGCTTTTTCGGGTTAAGCTAGAGGCTTACGGCCAATAGCCAATTAGTTATAAGGAGATAACTTGTTAAGTCAAAGCGTCGGCTAGTTCTACGGAAATTAGTGCGGACTCTTTGATCTATTAGCTCAGACTACTGTAGTTTAAGGAACTACACGCACAATGTGCAAAGGGGGATGCTGGAGTCTAATGACTCTCTAACCCACGAAAGTTCTACGGAAGTGTCAAGAGCAAGGTGCGAAAGGGTAGAAGTCTACAGACTTCTGCTCAAAATGAGAACTGAATTTATTTAGGTTTACATCAAGAAAATTCCTGCTTTAAGTAGTCTATATTATACTGAACCAGAACAAATACAAATATCAGTATTCGAAATAAATCGATGGTTGTCACATCACTCAGTTATCAAATAATGAAGGTACAAAGTACTTCCACGGTAATTACCGTAGCTCTGAGTATACCGACTAATCGGTAGTCACTATTGATATTTTATCTGGGGCCACACCTGTCTCCCATATAACAAATACAAGGTCTTTTATCGATTTAGCCAATGGCTAGTGTGGCCCCGTTACAGTGTTGGTACAAATTTCAGCAGAGCGCTGATGCGCAAACGGGCATTGGACCCATAATAAAATGCGAACAGGAAAATTAATAAAATGATGTAGTAAAGACGAAGCTCCTTGATGAACCGCACTCTATAATAGGTTCGAAGTAGCTTGACCTCTGACTGATTCAGTGTTCATTTCATGGACGTTGAGGTCTTTCAAATGAAACGTTCGCTGCACGCATATAAGCAATTTTTACTTGCTAAGTCACTCTTCATTTCCAATCGACGCAGCATCACAAAAAACGTGCATACATTGGAAGGAGGAAAGGCCAGAGAGAATGAAATTGCTTTTGTTCTGCGAGTAAATTCTGATCATATTTCGATATGCCAAGACAATTAATTCGAGTTTGTAACAAAGGAGTCTTCTATTGTGTGGAAATTATCACTGTGGGGCTATGTAACGGGTTCACACTAGCCTTTGGCTGAATTGGTCAAAGACCTCCCATAAATGATATGGATGAATATGTGAGACCTTAGATTTTATATCAGCAAGAGAATATCGATTGATCGATATTCCCAGGTTTACGGTACTTACCGTGTACGTACTTTGTACCGTCATCATTTGATGACTGAGTAATGTGGCAACCATTTGTTTCGTTCGAATACTGATATTTGTGTTTAGGATAATATAGGGTACATGTAGTAGGATTTCTTTGATATAGAATCTAAATGAAGTTCAGTTCTCATTTTGAGCAGAAGCCCTTAGACCCCCCCCTTTCGCACCTTGCGTTTGACATTTCTTTAGAACTGTCGTGGGTTAGAGAGTCTTTAGACTCCGGTATTCCCCCTTTCGCACATTGTGCGTGTAGTTCCTTAGAACTACAGTAGCTGAGCTGTTAGCTCGTAGAGTCCACCCAAGTTCCGTAGAACTGGGTAACTCTTTAACCTGATATATTAGTTCCGTAGAACTAAAAGGCTGTCAGCCGTAAGCCGTTGGCTTGTTGAATAAGTCTTCCTCTGACTTAAAGAGCTGTGTAGCTCCGCTGCAGGCTACGTATCTGCCTAATGTTGTTTAGAAAATATTTGCACCGTATACGTGCACATCCAGTCAAAAGCTGGTGAGACTACCCAGTTCCAGCAAATAGAGGTTTGTCCTTTTAGCGTGCTAGTCTAGTATGCGACAATACACGAATGGTCAATTTAATGTCTTGGGGCCTCCCTTTGTACATACGTTCGTTAAGTCATACGCATAGTAATCGCCCCGGTATATTTTATATTTTTTCATCTTGTGATGTATCTTTTCTTTTCCACTTTGTTTGGTTTAGATTAGATGTTTTGGTATATATTCTTATTTTCCCACCTTGTGACATCTTTTTGCATTTCTGCTTTATATATTCTTTTATTTTCCCCAGCATCCAAGCTTCTACAGGCAAATTGTGGAAATCGGCTAATTTCGTACTTATTCCTGTTTTCCAAGCGAGGTGTTATGCCAAACGGTGCGGAAAATGATGGATGATGTGTATCGCATGCAAAACGATAGACCTAGGAATCCCAACCTAGTAATTTACTGCACCTCGTCAACACTAGACAAATGATTGATTTAGAGGCAGAAGGTATGCAAAACAGGGTAGTGTTGCAGGCAACTAGCCCTTCAGCATATGCCATGCAACATTACAATAAAGTCGCAGCGAGTAAATGAACTTTTTACAGCGTGACATCTTTTGTGGTGAATAGTGCAGACTTTCATTACGAACAAGCACACATTCGTCGGTAATACCGCAGGTCATTTGGTGCCACAAATCAAATGCAAAGTCTGCGGCGCTGCCTGCCATGAACGGTGAAAGATGAATCGAACAGTTCAGTAGCGCAGTACATTTGATCGATATGGGTGATTCCGTGGCTCGTGGCATCCTTGAGCTTCGTAACCTCGCATTGGAACCGCTGATTTAAGTTAGGGGACATGTATAAATAAACACCATGGTCAGTAGCTGCCTCGAAGACCGATCACCATTTCGAGTTTTCGGAGCTCGGAACCGACCCACCCACACTCAAACCAAGCGAAACAAAAGGCAACAGTAGTGGAAACCGCGACCTCATCAATCAGATGTCGGAAATGGAAAAGGACCTCCAGGACGCGTACGCGGCACTCCAGCTGCTGCACACGGATCTCGCACTGTCGCGTCCTGACAATGGACTTCTCAGAGCTCCGCCCACGCACTTGCCAAGTCATGGATTGTATTCTCGTACGCCACGTATCGAAGAGAGACATGGTGGAATGCTCCGGATGTTTTCTGAAGACACGAAGTCCCGATCACGGTCCGTGACAATGCGGTCGGAGGACCCTTTTGCCGAAGGGACACGAGATCGTGTTTGCACGCAATGTGGACCCGCCGAGACGAACTCGCCCGAACTTGATGATTATCAAGTCAATGAGCTCAACGAGTTGGAAAAGTCGGCGCTCTTGACCAAACTGCAAAGCTTGACATCGACGGTGGAACAGCAGATGCAGACCATGTTGGCTCAACAAGCAAGTTTTGCACTGCAGAGAGAAGAGCTGGAGACGATGCTGGAGGAGACAGTGCACAAGCTGCAGGTGGAAAAGCGCAAAGTGGCAGATGCAGTGCTGGAGCAACAGACGGTCAAGGAGCAGTACGAGTTCTTGGAGACTCAAGTGGAGATCTTGCTTCGGGACAGGGAAAAGCTGCGTCAGCAACATGTGTGGACGATAGGTGAACTGAGAGAAGATTGTGCCAAATTGCAGACACGATTGGCAATCCCGGAGGCTGAGCGGGCTGCTGAGGCGAAGGAGTTCAATCAAATACATGAAGAGAGGGGGAGGCACCACGATCTGTCAATTGGAAACTTGGAGACGAAGCTGAAAGACGCGTACAGGCAAGTTGCAGTATCCGAAAGTGCCCGAGCTACCGAGAAGAAGGAGTACGAGAGGAAACTTGAGATGGCGCTGAAAAGCGTGCAGGCACAGCAACCGGGTGGAGACGAACATGTGACGCCACACCTTGCCTGCACCGAGACTGAGCGTCACGTGCTATCAAACGGTAGGAACAATGAGCGCGTGAGGGTTGTAGAGATCGCTGGACATTACAAAACACCGGTTCAACCTGCCGTTTTAGGTAAGGAGATACATCAGCAGGAAATTCGGACAGCTCAGCACGCAGACGGACTTGCAGGTGAGGAGTGCTTCGATTGCCAATCGTCGATCAAGCAGAAGTCACAAAAGGACCTGTGCCACTCTAAAAGCTGATCACAGCGAAGCACGAGGCTACCTAGACGCAAGAATTGTCATCCGGGGACCGTCTTTGCGGGCGCATATATTGTTGAGTTGCTCGTAAAGGGTTTTCATGGGATCGATCATGGTGATTCTTCTGCCGTGTCTACAATGTAGTATTGGCTCTCTCACGGCCAGAGAGACCAGGGTAATGGGTGTTTTCTACTGCATCTTTCGACGGCATTAGAAGCTGTGACTGCTGCGATTAAAGATGGCAAAATTCTGCCTGGCATCCCAACCGTGCTGTGTGCGGAACCTCGCGGAAAAGCCCAGAATGAGAATGGCCAGCTAACCACATGTTCCATCTGCGCTTCACCGTTGCATTTTAATGCCGCACTGGATTCGCGCAATGGACCTGACACGAATTCAGTTGCCGTCGAGATCGCTTAACTGCTTCGCGAGTGTGTTGAAGATGCTCAGACTCATTAATTTATAAAAGTACGGCGCTGGCAGTAACGACTAATGCGAGTACGACCGGCATTTGATGGTGGCATCTGCAATTGCATCACGTGGAACTGCGCTGATCTTGGAAAGTCGGACAAATGATCGTACTAAATAACCGGAAGGAACACAATTACCTGGCACAGTTGGAAGCTTACCCAGTCATCTCGTCGTTGCAAATATCATCGTTTCGCCACCTGCGAGAGATCGCATTAGTAGGCTTGCGCATTGGGCCTAGACGAGATGGTTTAGAGGTGGCCATAGAGATGATGCCTTTCTTCTCTGAATGAACATGATTCGTATGCAAAGCCGAACGTACTACGTGCTAGCGGTCGAAGAAGCCACATGTATTCACGAACCCTCACTCAAGCAATAGCAAAACGACAGAGAAGAGAACGTCACGGCATTGCGCGGGATGCAGATCGACGTTGCGAGTGCTTCAACATGTCAACTTACGAGCACGCATCTGCATCTCCAATGAAGCTAGTTGCCGTGCAACAGTTCCAGTGCCCACATCACGTACTTCGTCATGAGTTCTGTCGTCAGCTTCGCGAACAACAAGTGCGAGCGCATGGATCCTCCAGGAGTGCTTGCGGAACCTACACATGGGGGTATGGAATGCACGAGATGTACACGATAAAACACACTTCATCATCGACATGGTGCACCTCGATTCTGTTTCATTATTCGCACTTGTTGCTTCACAGCAAGGCACTCGTCACCTGTCGCTGCTACAGCTTACTCCGCCTTCTTCTTGGCTTCCGCAAACATAAAGTCGTAATCTTGAATCTGGTTCGTTAACGCATCCCGTTCTCCCGTCAGTGTCGCGATCTGTTCGCGTTGGCGCTTCAGTTCCTCTTGCTGAGACGTGGCAGTCTCCAGCTGCTTGTTGAGCTTGTCCTTTTCCTCCATGAGCTGCATAAACGCAGCACTTTGTCCTTCTGCCTGCTTCTTGACGACGCCGACCTCGTCTTCTGCCTTTTTGCACTTTTCAACAGCAGTTTCCACCCGCTCTTCCAGGTCGGCATTCTCCTGAACCAATCTCGCGAGTAGATCCACCTTTGTCGACTTGTCGTCGTCTCCGTCGTCGCCTTTCAGCAACTCGTGCAACTTGTTCGCCTGCTTCTTCAAGCTCTCGTTCTCTTCCAAAAGACACTTGTAGCCATCTACCGCCCCTTCCGCCTGCTTCTTCATAGCTTCCAGACACTTTTCCAAGTGGAGGTTCGTCGCCAGTGCAATGTACACGAGACGCAGCAGCAGGAAGAGGAAGAGGCAAAAGCCGGTAATGTACATATCCCGCTGCGCCGTGAGCAAGCGGATGCGCATGCCATCGCCCAGAACTTCGTCCGACGCGTGGTGCTTGTACACAGTCGACACGTCCGCTGTGAGAGAGAGGTCGCACATTGTAGGGGATTACAAGAGTTGCAATAGAAAATGACGTTAGGAAGGGATTTGGGTACACTGAAGCCTGCAAAGGGGACGTGACGAGACAAGGGGTTCGGTTTGCGTACAGATAAAGAGCACCGTGACCAAAGCGAGCACGACCGTGGCGATGGTATTGACCGCCTCTTTATGGCCCAAGTGGCGCACGAGGAACGACACGGCAGCGTGGGACAGCCACTGGCCGAACGGGAGACTCAGGACGAGGCAGATGCCGGCCTCGGTCACCATCATGTAGAACAGCACGTTGTTCAGCAGCATCTTCTTTCGCTCTGCTGGTACGAGATAGAGGATGACGATGAAATTGAAGACTGGTGGGATCTCTAGCTGTTCGGAATGGATTACCGGATGGGTACAGTACACGTTCTGAGGGATTCGGAACGAATACAGCGTTGCTTCTGATAAGCTTCTCTCCTCCTCCTCTGATAACTAATATTTCGCTACTTTCTAGGATAGGATGCCGTCCGTGCTCTTTTTATGATTGTGCTGTAAGCGCCAGCTTTATGACTTCTAACTGATTGTCCTGAAGCGAATATAGTTCAAAAATGGAAAATTTGTATCAAATGTGGCTATTCTTCCTTTTCAAGACAAGTATCGAGGGTGGTTAATGGGGCGTTGGCACTGCAAACGCCTTCCTATAGGCTGCGGAGTAGTTTAGACGCATTATGGTGATTTTCCAGGGACAGATAATGCAGGTGCAGGCACTCTTTAAAACACATACCTGCTCGCACTTGGTCAATGGGTCTGCAATTGCCTCCTCCTCCTCTACGTCAGCTCCTTCTTTACATTCCTTTTCCTCCTACACGACGGTTAGAATCTCTTGGCTGTTGAGCTCTGGCTGAGCCCATTCGTTCTCTCTACTAAATTTAATGGGCTCATCCAAGGATAGTCAGCCAAAAATTACACCGTTTTTCCAACGAAGACCAACATCTCCAACAAACGACCAGGATGGCTAAGCGTCTCTATACATGAGCCACAACACGAACAAATAATGCAAACTAAACGGTGAGAAAGATGCTAATGGTTTTCAGGGCTATAATCCTGGTGAATTTAAGTACAATTTTTTGGTGGTGAAAAGGAGTGTGTTTTGGTTGAGCTTTTCACTTTTCAATCTTTTAATTATCGACTTTACTGTATGTGTCTGATAAATACTTGTTACTCAAGCGTTCGTTTTTTATTACGTAATTTAAAATTGGTATAATTCCCGGGAATTGTTATTTTCACCACACTTTTTACTATTTCCACCACACTTTTTACTATTTCCACCACGCTTTTATTGTTTCCACCACACCGTACCTTCTAATCGAATAGTTTCAGCGCACCGTACCATACTACCGCGTTTCCACACACTCTTGTATACGAATAGTCGGAGACTTTCCGGGTGCAATATTTATAAAATTGTGGAAATAAGTCGAAAAAGCAGCTAATTCGTTTACTTCCCTACACATTCCAATCTGTCACTTGCTGGTTCCTCAGCGTTCGATCGCCAACCTAAAGTTTGGAGTAGATAAATCACATTTTTCCATATCATTGTACACCATCGTTTACTCGAAAGAATCTTATCTGTCTCTTTATTATCTGTCCAAAAACTCAATAACAGGCTGAGACCATTGTGTACTCGCCAGCGCCCATCACGCGAAAAAAGAGCGACGACTACTACAAGGATGAAGAGTGAGACAAGACAATATATCGGGGAGGGGTTTATCTGCTGCGGATGTTGATTAAAAACTTAAATTGGAGATCGTCACTGACTTTGTAGACGAGCGCCAGGAAGTCACGTACGCGGCAAGAGACACGTGTACATACTGTTGAAACTTAGACGACACAAAAGGAGGTACTTAGTACCCAATTAGCTGCAAGCCTTTCGGTCCAGCTTCTGCAGGAGATTGAGGCGTTGTTTAAGATCGTGATCTTCTTGCAGATTTTTCCTGAGCGAGAGCACGATGAAAAGCTCTCGCTATGCTGTGAATTTTTTTGCACAAGTCGGCAAATTTACGTGGTCAGAGCACATTGATATACTTCCTGGACGCATTACAGCGCACACTACGTTGGCAGAAAGAAATGTATTCGTTGTGAGGCAGCAATTTTTCGTTTGTTGCTTAGCATATCGAACGGCAAGCCGCGCATGACAGTGAAAATAGAAGGTGTAGTATTAATTAATCTTTTCGAAATCGCCACTGGCGTTATTTGGCAATTCGAAAGTGCGCGGTTTGGAGATCGTCGTTGAACGCGGGTGTGTGTGATATGGTGGTTCGGTGGTGTGATATGATGCGTATGTATTTATTCATACAAAAGTCATGGTGTGGTGGGACTTGTAAAATTGTGGTGGAAATAGTAAGTAGTGTGGTGGAAATAATAGTGCTTCTATTTTACAGCCAACAGCCCGGTCCTAACACAGATTAAAAGTAGGCTTGATCAATAGCATATTTAGTTGTAAAAAACAATTAGTTGTTCAGAAGAGGCGATCTTTGCAGCAACGGATGCATTTGATTACGTCCGTGACACGTGAACCTTTAGTTTAATCATGTTCGTACCTTTCTGGACTGAAACTCGGCTCTTCTTTTCTATAATATACAGCAATTAATCACAATTTATATTGTTGTAAAAGATTCGAAAGTAGAAAAGAGTGGCCGCATTGTATTGGTTGAGAGTGATGCGGAATTACAAAACGTGTGTACGTGCTACACTGTACGTGCTACACTGTACTCCAACATAAGGTTGTTTAAATCCAAAGCATATTAGCCTAAGTGAGTGTTGTGGCAGCATCATATCAGTGGTCACTGGTTTGAGATCCAGTAGGAGAAAAAGTCATAAAGTCGAATCTTTGGTTTCTGACGTGTAGGATTCACCAGCACTATCTTGCCAGGCAGTGACGTCTCATACCTTTCATGATGTAGCAGACAAGACATTAAGAAGAAGAAGCCACGTAAGAGAGGAATAGAATCGATAATTAACGATGATGTATTAATGGGACCTGAAAGGTCAACTATCCTAGAAAAGTATAGGAATGGTTAGCAAGCTTTGATGCATTGTAATTAACATATACTTATACATTTTCAGCCGCAAGTCTGATCTCCGCCTTCAGCGCTCCCTTTTATCAGGTTATGACCCAAAGCGCTAACTCCGTGTTCAAGTTACAATCATTTAACGGGAACAACTACACGTTTTGGGCGTACCAGATGCATACGCATCTCATCGTGAACTGAATATAGGCTTTTGTGAAGAATAAGTTGATTTTGTAACGGACATGGAGCAAAAGGTGCACATGAAGATCGTGATCATCTTAGGTTAAACGTTTAACAACGGAGAATATTACATGAGATGTCATAATAGCTTAATTTCCGTTTCGGAATGACTACAAAAACAGGGCAAAACTAAAACCTTGGGAGCACTGCGCTCGTTTTAGAGCTCCCTGTTTTGCGTGAGTTGTAACCACTTTGCTCGTGGAGAAGTTTGTTTGGTCGTACACGTGATGGCTTATCCTGCTGGACACCCACGCAATTTGTGGACGAACTTTTGAAGGTAAATAGAAAAGTCGCACCATCAATGTTACGCTACTTGTACAATAGCCATAGACGCAATTAGATGCTGATGGTATCACATCTAGTTGAATGACTTCCCTCTGTATGCTACATCTTTTGCACATACTGTGCATGTGCATAGGTCATTATCACATGTCCTGGTGTTTTTGAAATGACTCGTATTTTGCTCGTATTACTAAGTTGAATCTTGCAAACGCTTTTCAAACAAAACACCAGAGAAGTATCTACGAATAAGCTTCTGTATGTGACCCTTTCCTTTCAAATCCTCAGTTCATTGTGCAGTATCTGCTGTAGCGTACGCATCCCTCCTATGATAAGTCTCTCTCAATATGGATGATCACCTAGCAAAACATCATGAGTTAAACGGCTTCCATTTCTTTTTGGAGCTGATCTCTGGCTACGTTTTAGGATGCCTATCCTTGTCGACTGCAAATATGATATGCTGTTGCTATTTGGTCCATTAACAATCATTTAGCGATCGCTCTTTACTCAGCAAGACTGTGGCAGTCAGCGCTTCAATCTGAGTTATGCATCAAATGATTTGTTCAGGTCCATCAAATCGCGGATGCGCAGCTGAAGCACTTGCTCTAGCAGGCTGGTAACCAGCTGATTGTCCGCGACGATGAGTGATCTGTGAGTTTTTGTACGGCCGAATCTGAGCCTTTTGTGCTTAAAGCACATCATAAAACTTCCAGCGATTAAATACATGCGAAAATTGATCTCTGGACTAGATACTTATAGAGACTGAATTCGAGACTCACCTTGTCTGCTATCTGCGACTGTGTGCAAGAGGCTTATGCGTCATAAAACTGGCAAAACATTCAATTTATTCGAGCGTCACGCTTTCAACCGCTTTTGGTCGCAATGGTGTCGTTTGCAGCGCGGCGGAGGCGAATGAATAAATGCTTTACGTGAAATTGTGCTGAGATGAGCTGCTAAACACGAATTCGGACTCATTTGCTATTTTTAGGGCTGCATGAACTCGAGGGCGTTTGAACCTCTAAAGTTTGATTTACCTAATATAAATAATTTGATTCCGTTCCGCAGGTTTATATCAGATTCGACATGTTATTCCTGGAATGCTATAGTAAATTAGCACAATGACCTTACCGAATGACTTTTGTTGCCATTGCCTCTTATACTTTAACATACATCATTCTATTCATTATCGTTAGACGGTGAAAGCAATTTTTGCAGCGGTAAATGCAATTCTTGCAACAGCAGTTAATGTCTTCAAATGCAACAGTGTCGGTTTCATATTTCTTCACATCGTACTTAAAAACTGTACACAGCTTTAGGCACGCGCGGAGAAAAACGGAAATTTCGTCTCTTATCCAAAGTAAATAATGAGTCAGATAGCCATAGCTACTATGATAAACCAAAAAAATCTAAAAAGACGAATACAAATAAAGATTTTTGTGCAGCAATACGACAAAAACATTGATCAACTATGCTTAATGTGTTATTTAGCTTTCTCTTTTCTGTAATACACCTGCAGACGAAATTTTTTAGTAACTCATGGGATAAATAAACGGGATGGATTCATTGTAGGAAAATTAGAATGATTAAACGTGCTTAAAGTATTATATCGGATGAGCAGGAGCGTATTTTACTTACAGCTAAAACATTTGTAACAGTATTTCCACGGTACCAACAGTAAAAATTACAGGAATAACGCCAAAAAGAAAGACGGCATCGTTAAAGCAGCATCCACAGCAA